TCCTATACATACCTATGATAAAGTTTAATTTATAAATTAGGCACAGTAACAATAACAATTTAAGTTATGTGAACATGGTCTCTCTCTCACTTAAAATATCTTATCCTATTAATTTAATGCCTTTTCCATCTTAACTAAGCACTAATCTCTCACTGTGGCTTAAACTTTTGCAGTTTGAGGTTCAACATCAAAACTAGCACACAATTTTTTTCCTTCTTCACAATATCACGGACTAAAGAGTTCTTAGTCTAGATCTTAGCTACCTCAGCACAGGATGTTTTTTCTTTCCTTAAAAGGAAGCACTTCATAGGATCTCTTTGGCATATGCAAACTGGCAGTATTACTACTCTTGCACTTTGGGGATATTATTATAAGTAAAATTTCTTGAACACAGGCACCATGATACCATGACCATCAATCTGACAACTAAGACAGCTTCTAAGTGACTAGTGGGATGGAGAGGGAAGGTGAGAGATCTCATTACATTACTCAGAGCAGTGTTCAATGTAAAACTTACGTTATTTCTGAAATGTTCCATTAAATATTTTCAGACTGTGGTCGACAATGAGTAACAAACTGCAGAAAGCAAAACTGCATATACAGGGCGGGGTGAGGGACACTACTGCATTGTCAAAAATGTTTAACTAGATTTAAAAACGAAAAATACTTAATTGGCTGCATCTGGTCTTAGTAGCAGCACGTGGGATCTTTTGCTGTGGCCCATGAGTCCATGGGGCTCAACGTAGTTTAGTTGCTCCATGGCATGCTAGATCTTAACTCCCCAACCAAGTACCGAACCCACGTCCCTTGCACTGATTACAAGGTGGATTCTTAACCACTGGACCACTAGGGAAGTCCTGTTTAACTAGATTTTAATGAACAACCAGGAAGATGCAGATGCAGCACATTCTATTCCACCCCAACTGGCCTGGACTCTTCAGAAAAATGAACTGTATGTATTTTATGCCAAAGTTCTTGAAGCATATTAATGGTACTGTGGTTACTTAGGAGGAGAAATTTTTCTTTCTTAGATGTTGCTTAAGTATTCAGGGTTAAAATGTCATGTCTGCAACTCACTTTCAAATGACTGAGGGAAAAGTGTACATAAACTAGGACAAAACAAATGTAGCAAACCATTAACTGCTTTGAAAATTTTCAAAACAGAAAGTAGATAAAGATAAGAAAAGTAGATAAGATAAAGCTAGAGATCCCATTCTGTTAGGATAGAAGCCCTACCTATCATCAAGTTGTGCCTCTCCTATTCTGCTGCTGCTGCTAAGTTGCTTCAGTTGTGTCCAACTCTGTGCGACCCCATAGACGGAAGCCCACCAGGCTCCCCTATCCCTGAGATTCTCCAGGCAAGAACACTGGAGTGGGTTGCCATTTCCTTCCCCAGTGCATGAAAGTGAAAAGTGAAAGGGAAGTCGCTCAGTCATGTCCGACTCTTAGTGATCCCATGGACTGCAGCCCACCAGGCTCCTCCGTCTGTGAGATTTTCCAGGCAAGAGTACTGGAGTGGGGTGCCATTGCCTTCTCCTCTTCTATTCTAGCACCATCTAAAGAAGACGACCATAAATACTGTTAGTTTATTTCACATCTCTACTTCTTAAAAAAGGGGGAAAGAAGGATCTTGTAGGGAATCAGACTTTCATAAAAGGTCATTTGTATTAAGCCTTATCAAAACTGATTGTACTTTTTTCCTTTTTTTGGCTGCACTGCACAGCATGCAGGATCTTAGATCCTGGACTGAGCAGACCGGAGATTGAATCTGTGTCCCCTGCAGTGGAAGCACAGAGTCTTAACCACTGGACCACCAGGGAAGTTCCCCCAAACTGATTTTACTAACATTTCCTTACATAGCTTTAGGAGAGGAGACATCAAAATTTCAACCTAATATTAATCCAGTTCACCTGATGGAGCAGTCAAACTGGCTGTACTAGAAGTCGCTCAAACCTAGAACCTCTTTATCTAGCAGCTGGCTTCCAATATTATGGGGCATCTAAAGTAAGACAAAGCTTCCCTGGTGGCTCAGTGGTAAAGAATCTGCCTGCCAATGCAGGACACTCAGGTTTGATCCCTGGGTCAGGAAGATCCCCTGGAGAAGGCGATGGCAACCCACTCCAGTATTCTGGCCTAGGAAATCCCATGGACAGAGGGGCCTGGTGAACTACAGTCCACGGTGTCGCAGAGAGTCAGACACGACTCAGTGACCAAACAACAACACAGACAGACAGGCTTGTGCATTGTATTCTCAAGAAGTAAACCCATTTATTCAGTTCTTTAAGCAGAAAGCCTCCAAATCTACCACAGCAAATTCTTTGATGTCCAAGGCTAATACTGTACTGCTAGGGAAGAAGAGGTAGGGAAGATGAGAAGCACTAAGGGGCTGGCTTCTACAGAGCATATCCTAAAGATTATCTCAATGACTACTTTAAAAACTTTATTTCAGCCATTCTTGGGAAGGCACACAATTTGGTCTGTACCCACAGACAGCCAACCCTCTAAGCCCAGAGTACTTGCTGGCCCTGTCAACAAGAAAATTCTACACTGGACTTCCCTGGTGGTTCAGTGGTTAAGAATCTACCTGCAGGGCAGGAGCCACAGGTTCGACCCCTGGTCTGGGACGATCCCACACTGTGTGGGGCAGTTAAGCCCGTGCACCACAACCACTGAGCCAGCATGCTGCAACTACTAAGGCCTGAGCTCCTAAGGCCGGAGCGCCCGAGGCTGGAGCACCTAACGCCGGAGCTCCTAAAGCCTGAGCTCCACAACAAGAGAAAAGCCTCTGCTTGCTCCAACTAGAGAAACCCCGCACACAGCAATGAAGGCCTTGCACACCCAAGTAAATAATTTTTTAAAAAATTCTATATAAAATTACTTTTAAAAAAATTCTAGCTAATTTACCAGCAAGTGCACCCAAATATGTGAATGTAGCTGACTCATGCTGGATGGTTTCCAGAGAACTGAAGCAGTTCTCTCAGCACATAATGTGGCAACCAAACAGTGAAACCAATGACCCTATAGTAGTTTTTCCCCCCTTGCCTTTCAATGCAAACACATGAAATACCTAATTTCAGTTCAAACTCATTTCCCTTTTATTAAAGTCCAAGTTACATTACATGGTTTGGTACTCAACAAAGGAAAACTTGTTCGAATAAGGTAATATGTTATCATCAGTATTTCCAGGTGACTGTTTACAATCAAGTAGCATTATCAATAAGTCCTTGGGAAGCCCATCTGTAAAAGAAAACATGAAAAATTAGCTGGGTAATAAAGACAGAAATCTTACTAAAAATAACCTCTAGAGCAACAGCCCAAGGAACTCTCTGTGTAGTCTCTTCTGCTCTTTCTTAATCCTGCCTGAAATCAACACACCAGATACTAGCTGTTTGGCTTTTTTTTGTTGTTATCCACCTGGTAATTATTGAGGTAGTATTCTTTTCTAATCAGAAAAGTACTGGGGAGCTGCCCTCTTAAGAATTTTTAAGTAAAAGAAATACAGTGTTCCTGCAGCTAGAAAATATCCTATATAACAAAGATCTTCTGGACTCCTTGGAATAATACTTGATAAATGAAAGCCTTTTCACATTTCACAAAGACTTGCTATCTGGCTTCAGAGAGGAAGAAGACACGGGGGTGATACAGAGATGGACAAAGATAAAATTAACACTCTTCTTTCAAAGCAAGCTGTAAAAAGAGATCTCAAAATTGAATTCAAAACCTCAGGCATTTTCTGCTCAGTTTGTGGTAGGAAAATTGAATGTAGGTATTCTTTGAGTTTAAGAATTTTAGAGTGTGAAATTAGGTGTTCACTAATGGTATCCTAACCATGCTCACTGGTTCTTTATCTTGTGAGGATCTGATACTAGCTCTTTAAATAATTTTGGGTCCACCTTTATTGAAACTTTTATAAAATAGCTTAGTCCCACCTTTTAAAAATAATCTTCTTCTTACTCTTAGGAAACAAACCTTCTGTTTAAGCCTCATTACTTACCTCTGAGAAGTAAGACTATGGCCTTAGTAAATGCTTTAGTACTGCAATGCGTACAAAGGACGTGTAGCATAGTAAAAACAATGGACCCTGGAGCCAGACTGCCTTGGTTTAAATGTGGGTTCCTCTACTAGTTGTATGACTTTGGACAAGGTGCCTCGTTTTCCTCATCAGTAAAATAGTAAAATGGGAATAAGTGTAATAATAGTAAGTACTTCACAGGACTGTTCATGAGGATTAAATGAATTTATAAAGCACATAAAACAGTACCTCACACATAATAAGAGTTATATACACTATATGTGTTTGTTAAATAAAATAAACATAAAGAGTTATTACTTATATATTTTTTTGTTTTACAAAGCATTTTCTGCATACTGCTCACTACCCGGCAATCTTGTGGCTGGTTTTATTACCTAGTCTGAATTTTCCACAAGGTATCAAGTTTGTATTATCAATGAATATTACCTATTATATTTCAACTTGGGCATACAAAAACAGAAGCATCAAATTAATAAAACCCTGCCGTTAAAAATAAAGATGTATAAAAGCATGCATGATGAATACCTGGTATGTAGTAGATTACCTTAATTGAGGAGAGGTTAAAGAGCTGGAATTAGGAAAAAGGCACAGAGAGGGCTTCAACTCTATGTGAAACCTCTCATTTCTTGGGGGAGAGGGAGAAACTAAAGCAAATATGGCAAAAATAATACCTCAAAATTTGGGTATGGTTACATTTATTCCCTATGCTATTCTTTACCCTTGAAATATTTTATATTATATAGATTTTAAAGTAAGGTTTTCTTAACTTGCCTTTACACCAATAAAAGAACAATTATAACAACCAGAAACAACAATTCTAGCTCTTTAATCATCACAGGTACTCTCTAAGCTCACAGCCTCTAACAAAGCCATGAAAAGGTCTTTCTCTGAGAATACTGTAATGCCACTTACTCACCCCTCCCTGGATCCTTTCTCTCCTTATTCAGGTATACCTTACCCATGGGGTTTACACTTTGTCGAGGCCCAGTTCCTCTGGAGTGGAGATTCCCAGTTCATTCAAAGTTGGTCTAAGTTCCTGGATGACATAGGGGTAGATTTCCTTATGAGGTCCTGCTTTGTCCTGATGGCAAAGAAAATACAATTAGCTCTGAAAAGCTGTCTCTATCAACAAAATGAAGCTGAAAATGCTTTCAGTCATATGCAGAGGCTAGCAGCAGAGAATACAAGTCACCTACTTTTAAGTTAACATATTCGTTCAAAGAGAGAGCAACTTACATAGGCACTATTCAAGGTAGTCTGTTAAGACACCTGAAGACTAAGACTACTAAATCCAGGGGGAAAAAACATTTTAAAGCCTTGAGTTACTGGAAAAGAAGGTGGTGATGACAGAATTTTGTGATGGCAATTAAATGTGCCCAGCAGGCAACAGGAATAATTAAGTTAACACGAAAAAAGTTTCTTAATTTGCCTCAATTTGAGACCCTAACTGAATTAACTACTGGTGTTGAATGGATTGATAGCCCACAGAACCCTTAATTATCTTACCCATTTTAGATAAAGTATGGTCATACTTTCCCTCTTACAGACCTTGCATTTCTTTCCTATAGAATATAAAAGTCTTTTCATGGAGAGCTACACGTAGAGAATACTTATTTCCAAGGCAAGAGAGCTTTAGGAATACTTAACATAATATACAATTATACCTATATTGTCACAACATTCTTCAGAGACAAATATTAGAAGGGCAAATAGACTAAGACAGTGTCAAGTTATTATATTATTATTCTAACAAATTCTAGGTCTCCTTAAGTGTATTTTTTAAGTTATAAAATTCTTATTTAAAGTTCAATGCATTAAGTTGTTCATTATGGAAAAATTAAAAAACTATAATCAAATAAGAGGAAAGTATACATCTTTAGGCTTCCCTGGTGGCTCAGATGGTAAAGCGTCTGCCTACAATGCGGGAGACCTGGGTTCGATCCCTGGGTCGGGAAGATCCTCTGGAGAAGGAAATGGCAACCCACTCCAGTATTCTTGCCTGGAGAATCCCATGGACGGATGGAGCCTGGTAGGCTACAGTCTGTGGGGTCACAAAGAGTCGGACACGACTGAGCGACTTCACTTTCACTTTCCTCTGGGAAGTCCCATTTTAAGAAGCCACTGGTGACACTTAATTTCATATCACAAGCAGCACAAAGATAAACTGCAATTCTTAATTATTTCCTTAAGATAAATTCTCAAATGGGATTGCTGAAATCCTAATAAAATAAATTCCTGAATAAATTCTCCCAAGTGCTCTCCAAAGAGAACATAACCACAAGGTACATTCCCTCTAACTATATAAAAACTAATTTCAGGTATTTTAACAAATTCACAAGTACAGAATATGCTAATACCTAAGCAATAGTCCACCTACTTCCAGAATAACTTTAGCATTGTTATTTCACTGACCTTAACAACCTCTAGGATGCGAACTGCACTAGCAAAATCATTTAAACGTCTGCATGCCCGCAAAGCAGCATCAATGATTTTGGGTTCTGGAACCAGGTCATAGCCAACAAGTGTGTTCATCCCTGTCAAATTAAAAAGAGGGGTCATATCAATCTGGAATATCCTCACTTAAACGACAATTTAGTTATCTATATTTTTTTATTGAACCATAGACATGTGATCTTGTCTGATCGGCTATTCTTTTTTTTTTTGGCTCTACCATATGGCACGCAGAACTTCCCTTCCATGGATCAAACCTATGCCTCTTGCAGTGGAAGCGTGGAGTCTTAACCACTGGACCACCAAGTGAGTCCCTGGGCCTCTATTATTTCTAAGATGAGATAACTGGGAATTCCCTGGTGGTCCAATGGTTAGAACTTGGCATTTCCACTGCCAGGGCCTGGGTTTGATTCTTGATTGGAGAACAAAGGTCCTATAAGCCATGTAGTACAACCAAAAAAATAAAAACCTTGAAAGTGATCTTAAATGCAAACACTATTTTCAAAATTAGCTGGCTTCTTTTCGAACAAGACGGTCATTTTCAACTCACATCTTTAACTCTTAGTACAATGTATGTACTTCGACTGCTTTAAAATAGATCTGACTGAAAAAATAATCTAAAAACAACCAGGGAAATGCTTAAGGAGAAAGTAATGAAGCCCAAATGAGGACTTTAAGGCGATATAGAAAACCATTAGTGCAGAGTCATAAACACTCAACCAGAAAATACTGGGCATGATTACTTTTGGCTCTGCACAAAATGACACATCATAAAATTTAAGATTCTTTTAATGGGAATGCAAAACTGTTCTTTTCATTACTCCTACTCAAGATTATCCAATAAGAATTTCCCTAGTTGCAGCAAAATGGAGTCATTACATACCTCTGGAGAAATATGAAGGACTTAGGTTTCTGGCTTTTATTAATTTTAAAATATTAATACAAAGGACACCAGTGACTGCAATGCTAGAATATAGTCAGAGAATGAATTCTTCATCTGAGATAAACCGCCTACACTTAAAATTATCTATCAGTCTACTAGCTTGGTTATAATTAATGCTACTTACTCATGTTAAATGCACATTTACAAATTTAGGATAAACAAGTTCTAGCTTACTCTGATAGGACACTTACTCAGGGCAAGACAGATAAATCATAACCAAGAATAAAAATAACAAAAATCCCAAACTATTACCAAGAGGGGAAGAAAACCAAATGACTACTTATACAAATTATCTATTTATTAAAAGCTACACAATTGCTAAATCTTGCTCACCTTGGCCTATCTCTATAGCAGGGATGATTCCCTCAGGAGACATTTCTGGTTGTCACAATGGGGGGTTTGTGGGGGTTTCAGCATCTAGTGGGTAGAAACCAAGGATGGGTTCCTACAATGCAAAGGACAGCCCCTGCAACCAAGAACTGTCTGGCCCAAAACATCAATCGTGCCTCCTTCAAAACCCTGCTTTACAGGAAACACTTACTCTGGAAACTATAAACTTTCCTAATTGCAAGATGCATGACAATACCCAGTCTACATGATACATATTTTCAAAATACAGCTGACCCTCAAACATGGGTTTGAACTCTATGTGTCCACTTACACACATATTTTTTTCATAAATACTACATGATCTGAATCCATATATGGAGAACCTTGGACACAGAACTGTGGATCAGGAGGGCCAACTGTAAAGTTGTATATGGATTTTCTATGTGCAAGTGGGCGTCAATGTCCTTAACCCCCAAGTTTTTCAAGGGTTAACTGTAGTTACTCTTAACAGAGTAGTGGAAGACTGCACAGCAGTTCATAATTCTGTATCAAAATAGACACATATGCCCGTGTTCCAATTACCTTTACGCAACTCCCAAGCATCAATATCTGGCTTATTGAAGTATGTCACCCAGCGAGCATCAAACTCCTCGTCTGTCTCATGTGACCCATGGGAGTAGCAGCGAAGTGACTGGACAGCTACAGGGGAGGAAGAACAGTAACTTCAATGTACAGAAGTAGGACTTGACTGGTTTTTTCCTTTTTTGGGTGTATCTTAAAATACATACAACACAAAGTCTACTATCTTAACCATTTCTAAATGTACAGTTCAGTGGTATTACATTCACTCAATGCCTTAGGTGTTGAATCAGCTATGCATGTCATGGTAGAAAAATTATTCACCAGGTCAAATGAAACAAATCTTATGTACTGATTTGAAAAACCATCTTAAAAAACTAAGCACAGAGGGACTTCCTCGGTGGTCCAGTGGTTAAGGCTCTGAGCTCCCAGTGCAGGGGGCCTGGGTTTGATCCCTGGTCAGGGAACTAGATCCCACATGCCTCAACTAAGAACCCGAATGCTGTAATGAAGATCCTGCATACTGCAACTAAGACCCAGCGCAGCCACACACACACAAAAATTATCAAGCACAGAAAAGTAAAACAAAAAGTACTACAGATGTATGTTTATGCTTTTCTCACTTATGCGTAATGCTGGTGTGTAACTGTTAACAGTGGTTATCTTTGGAAAGAGAAATTTTCTTTATACATTTTTATGATAAACAGCATTAATTCCTAATTTAAAATAATGTTCATTCTTGGGAATGCCCTGGTGGTCCAATGCTTTGTGCTTCAACTGCCCAGGGCCTGGGTTCAAGCCCTGATTGGGGAACTAAGATCCTTTCAGTTGCACGGCCAAGAAGTAAGTAAAATGATGTCCATTCTATGTTTTTTTGGCTGTGCCATGTGGCATGTGGGATCTTAAGTTTCCAGATCAGGGAGGAACCTGTGCCCCCTTCAGTGGAATCACAGAGCCCTAACCACTGGACTGCCAGGGAATTCCCTCCATTCTAGTTATTAAGCAAATTTCTAACATATATTTTCATAATTTAAAAAGTCACCACAATGATAAGCACATGCACCATAAGTGAAGAATAGCCCCCACTCACACAACTAGAAAAAGACCACTAGAAGCAATGAAGACCTAGCGCAGCTAATGATTAAAAAAAAAAAGTTCACTTACACTCAATGAAAAAAAATTTTATTAGATTTCTAAGAAGTGAGATTTTTAAACATAACACTATCAAGAAAACAGGACACCCTTAGCAGTCTGCTCCCAATCAATATACCCTTTTCAGTACCATATGAAAAGCCTTGCATTTTCAGTTTCTGCTTGTAACTGGACAGTGAATTGGGAGTTAAGAAATCTAAATTCCTTCTGAATAGCCTCTGAATGGGGTAGGAGGTGGGAGAAGGAATTTTTACCTTTGGGTTTTAGGAGGCAGTAGAGCCTAATGGTCAGATACTTCTAGGCTCTTCACTCTCTTGTTGTTAATTAACTCAGGTTTTATATTCCTTATCTGTAAAATGCAGATACCACTACCTTAGCAGAGTATGATAATTAAAAATGAAAGCCACGTTAATGTTTTGTCTAGGGCTTAGTAACCTTGTAGGTATGTACTCAATGTTTTTTAAATTAATCCTTATCTAGAAGTGTCTTAATCGATCTTCTATTTATAGAAATCATAATTCACAGAAATAAAACATCCTTCAAATTGCACCTCTAATTATAAGAGCTTGGTATTAATTTCTAGTTATTTTAAAGGCTTAACATATCAAAAGGGAGAAGGCAATAGCACCCCACTCCAGTTCTCTTGCCTGGAAAATCCCATGAACGGAGGAACCTGGTGGGCTGCAGTCCATGGGGTCGCTAAGAGTCAGACATGACTGAGCAACTTCACTTTCACTTTTCACTTTCATGCAGTGGAGAAGGAAATGGCAACCCACTTCAGTGTTCTTGCCTGGAGAATCCCAGGGATGGGGTCGCACAGAGTCGGACACAACTGAAGCGACTTAGCAGCAGCAGCAGCAGCAACATATCAAAAACAACCTTTCAGCCCACCATCACCCCAAATTTGTAAACCATCTTTTTCAAAAACTACAGTTATCCTTAGCTGAATAAAGTGCAAGTAGATAAGTGAAGTATAAACTGTTAAGCAGTTCCTTATCAAGTTAAATATACACCTACTAAACACAGTAATTTCACTTCTAAGTATTTACTCAAGAAAAATGAAGTATATAATTCTCTTCCTAGAGGCAACTATTAAGTGTACCTTTCCAATCATCCAGTAAATTGTTTCGTGATAACGAATTTCTTTTGCTCACTGCTGGGCATGGATTTCACTAGATGACTGTGGTTTTGTTTTCTAAGTGTGAAAAAGATGATCAACAAATGCAAATCCTAGTCAGGGAGATCAATGGATCACCTTCAATGATTTGTTTACCTTCCTTCTGAGAGTCCCAAATTACAAACTGGTATTAAAAAACAAAGACAGTGCCTGAGACAGCTATTTAGAAAACCAAGCAAGCACTGGGAACACACACAGATCCCAGGTTGAGGAAAATGCACTCTCCCAATGGTTTACATTATATTCCTTATTCCAGTCATAGGTAAAGCAGGATCTATTCTTCTAGTTATGGACATGTTTAACATCCTGATTTTTAGGTAAATTATATCCCTCACACCACCCCTATATACAGCATTTCCACCTAATTTTAGGCTTATATGATAAACTATTTGGAAAACAATTACTTGGTGTTTTTATATAAAGGTTCCAGAGTAGAAAAAGGGAAGCATCTGTAAAAAAAACTGAGACATTTCTAGGGCTACAATCTAAAAATCTATTTCTAATACTGCTTTTTGGCATTCTGTTAAGCAAGTTTTTTTTTTTTTTAAAGCAAACATATTTAGAAAAATTAAGTGGCTCATTAATTCCCTTCAGTAACTAAACAGCTCTGGCAAAGCTCAAAGAACAGGCATTTTGGTGGTGGTGATTCTAAGGCATAATGGAAAGAACTGACTAATGTAAAGGGTACATAAACAAGCTCAAAGACAGCTATACAGAAGTACAAGGTTTAGGGGCCCAAAGGCTGGAAATCTACAAATGTGGCAGTGGTGCAGAAAAGGTTGGAAGGTAATAAAAAATGCTACTTAAATCTAGCCCTCCACCAAGAAAGAGAAAGCAGAAACTCCCCACCTTTTCATAGCCTATCAGGGTAAGGAATAGGGGTGAGGACTCTAACTTTTAAGGGTTGGCTGGAGAATCTAGCAATTATTCAAAATATTTAATTATCTAATTCAGTAGTTATTAGAAAATAATTCTGTTACAAGGTGGAGGTAGGTAGAGGCTCAAAGTGGGACAAAATAGGAAGTTTGGGTCGCTACTTATTTACAGCAAACTTGAAGCTCCCCGGGTTAACCCCTCCAGAGCTCTTTCATTAGACCTTGGATAGCCTCATCCAAGAATCTTAAGCCTTTCTGACTTTTAATTGCATGAAATTTCTTCAGTCTCATAATGATAATAAACCTCACCTTTAATATGCAAAAATGAAAGGCACTATAAAAATAAAGCAAATATGTTTCAAGCATTTGTACCAGGAAAGGTGCTGAGAGTTGACATTATCTCATTTAAACCTCACAACTATTAAATAGTATCCCAATTTTAGACTTAGGCAACTGAGTCTTAGGGTTTAACTAACATGTCCAAGGTCACACAGCTAGAAAGTAGTTGACATGAATGTAACCATGACTGCCTCCTTGCGGCAAATATTTAGGTTTATGGGACAACACCTAAAAGAAAGTTTTTTGTATATGAATTATGCTTAAGAGGGCAACTAGAATGATTAGGAGATAAATCACTTTGTCTAACCTTAGCAAGAGTTTGAGTTCGTACGCTTAAATATTCCTGCTTAGGGGCCAAATTTCATAATGTAGCATATACCACCATCATGGGCCAAAATCAAAGTGCAGTTAAAATAATTAAAAGTGCTAGACACGTAGTCTCCAGGAACAGACATAACCGGAAGGCAGAACAAGAGACAGGAATCAGCAGAACATCTTATACTCCGCAATCAGGCTTCTAACCGGAAGCAAAAACATAAAGCTTCCCCATACTTGCAGGACCCCCTATTTCTGGGTTTGTGATATACAATTTTCGAAATAAGAGTCTTATCATAAGATCTATCAACTCAGTCCCTCTTCCAGGCCTCAGGAAATAACTACACACGTCGATCTATCGTAAAAGTGAAAGAATTAGAACGTGGCACTGCAGTCTCTAAAAATACCAGAGTGGTGGTGAAGTGACCACAAAACGCTAAACGAGACAGGTCTGATGAAAAGACTATAACTGTCGCACACGGAAGTATAACGTGTTCTTGGAAGACGCTAGAGGCGGCGGGGCCGGGGACCCCGGAGGGATCACCCCCGCCCCTACCCTGAGCTCAATGTCACCTTCGCCGAAGCGCTGCAGGCCGGCGGTGGCCACTCCTAGTCAGGTGGCCGCAGGGTCAGCGCCGGGGCACGGTCACGGCCTGGGGACCGAAGGGGTCCGGTGGGCGCGGGAGGTGCGCTGCGCCCCCTCCTTGGCGCCCACAGCAGGTCCACATTTGATCGGTCGGCGGTGCCCGCACCAGGAAGTCGCTTCGAGGGGGGCCCCGGGGGCGCGCTCTCGAGTCCTCCACAACTCGAGGCGACGGCGAGAACGGCCAGTGGTCACCAGGTTCGGCCGCCGGCCCGCAAGGCGGGAGCTAGGCCTCTGGGAGAGCCTGCCATCGCGTGGCGGCGGGGGCCCAGGTCACCGCAAGGACACGCGGGCGCGGACAGCGGCACGCGGGAGCCTTACCGGCGGCGGGACCGGGGGCCGGAGTTGGGTGCAGGAGGCCTCGAGGGCTGGCCCGGGCGACTGCGGCTGCAGCTACAGAGCAGCGGCGGACAGCGGCGCCTAGCATGACGGCGATGGCGGCGCACAGGTTAAGGCTGAAGAGAAGCCGGGTGTGAGCCCACGACCGCTCGGGAGCTCGTGGGGGCCGGACTCACGCACCGACGCACGGTGGGCGGAGCATGAGGGTCCGCCCACTGCGGCGCTTGTGCCTTCGCGGAAAGAGGACCTCACGCAGCCACCGGCGGGCTACGGCGGCGCGCTGAGGACAAACTATTTCGGCGCCGCTTCCCCACGGTTCTCTGGTCCCTTGAACTGCAGCGGCCATTGTGGAGCAAGGAATAGAAGGAAGGGGAAGAGCCGTCAGTAGACAGTAGCGCGGTTCAGATCCGGCTCGGGAGACGACTCCTGCACCTCAACATGAGAAAATAACAATACAAATTATAATTTTAAAAATACCTTCTTTGCTCTTTCCTTCCCAGGTTTGAGCCTAAAATAAGAGAGTGGGACGGAACGACTGCCTTCGTATAAAGGACCTTGTTAGTAACTATTCTTATACCAGAAACCCTCTAGCATTCGGAGTCCAATCACTTGACTTTACAGAGAACAAATGGGCTCTGAAATTAGATTGCTTGCCTGCAATCGAGGCTCTTTTCACTGAATTCCCAGTTCCAGCACTCACCTGGACATTTCTGGTGACATACCCTCCCTCCTCCAATCCCTACAGGAGGGGGGTTGTTTAAGTAACAAGATTTTTTTGAGGAGGGGGTGCTTTTCGTCTTAGGTGTGACACGTGGGGTCTTCCGTTTTCTCATGCAGGATCTTTTGGTGGCCGGGGAGAGGACGTTCTAGTGGCACTCCAGTCTCCAGGGTTCGTGGGTTCAGTAGTTGTGGCCGCTAGGGACTTAGTTGCTCTATAGCATGTGGTATCTTAGCTCCCCAACCAAGGATTGAACCCGCATCCTCTGCAAGGCGGATTCTTAACCACTGGGCCATCAGGGAAGTCCCCAGTGCCAAGACATTTAACATCTAATTTGGCCTCATTAACTGCATTCTGACCTTAGGTTCCTCAGCAGTGGGACCACTTTCCCCAGGCCTGAATTACCTAGCTGCCATGCAATGTTAATGAGACAAGTCTCTTGTCTTGTTATCCCTCATTCTCTATCCCTGGAACTACTGAGGAAAGAAAAGATGGGGATTCAGGCTTTGCTTCCTGACTCCAGGCCCTGTCTCTAGGGTTTCAGCAGATAACCCTTTTCTGCTTCCTCCCTAGCAGTATGGCTTTAAGGGTATGAATCTGGCTAGGAAAATGATAAAGAAAAAAGCTTTTTCGAAAGCACTGTCCTCATTTTCTCCCACCAAAATATTGAAAAGACACATGGGGAAGATATCACCTCTTTGATTTCAATTAATATTCATTAAATTGCCAAGCACTGGAAGCCCAGGAGACGGCAGGGCTCTCATGATTAAGAAAGCACTGGAAGGGACTTCCCTCTTGGTCCAATGGTTAAGAATCTGCTTGCTGATTCAGGGGACATGGGTTCGATCCCTCCTCTGGGAAGATCCCACATGCTGAGGAGCAACTAAGCCCGTGGGCCATTACTGCTGGGACCCCAGTGTCTAGATCCAGCCCTCTGCAGCAAGAGAAGCCACTGTAGTGAGAAGCTCAGTCGCCGCAAGGAAGAGTAGCCCCCATTTGCCTCAACTAGAGAAAGCTGGTGGGTGACAATGAGGACCCAGTGCAGGCAAAAATGTAAATAAATAAATATATTTTAAAAATAAAAAGGACTGGAAAAAGAATCTAGAAAGAAGTGGATATATGTATATGTGTGACTGATTCACTTTGCTGTGTAGCAGAAGTTAACACAACATTGTAAATCAACTATAATCCAATTCAAATTAAAAAAAAAAAGATAAAAAAGCTTGAGAAGGAAAGAAAGCAACGAGTTGGGAGTTCCCTGGCAGTCCAGCGGTTAAGATTCAGTGCTTTCACTGCTGTGGCCTGGGTTCAGTCCCTGGTCAGGGAATTTAGATCCCTCAAGCCTTGCTCGGCTAGACAAAAAGAAAAAGCGCTGGCTATATGGCACTTGAATCCCAATTCCAAATTGTAAGGTACTGTACTTGTCTTTGCCTGCAGTGCCTTAGATTGGCTACTGTGATATTGTATGTTTTCGTTGTTGTTTTCAAAAACAGTTATGATCATAATTAATTTTGTGCCCCTGCAAGCTACAAACTATTTATTATCCCATCTAAGCCTCATAATAGTGTTGTGAGGTGAGTATTTACTGCTATTTTATGGATGAAGGAATAGACTCAAAGGACACTTGCCTAAGAATCATGCAACTGATAAATATTAAGAATACTGCTTACATTTGAGCCCAGGTTTGTCTGACTGCAGAAATTTTCTTTCCCCACTCCCTGTAAAGGTAGACTTTTCTGGCTTCTCAGCAAATTCTGAACCCCTTGCTAACTTGAGGGCAGTTCTAAGTCCTTATTACCTGTATTAGTTGTTGTTTTGGTTGTGCTGGATCTTCATTGCTGTGTGTGGGCTTTCTCTCGTTGTGGTGAGCAGAGTCTATCCTGTGTTGTGGTGCACAGGTTTCTCATTGTGGTGAGTTCTCTTGTTGTGGATCACAGGCTCTCGGGCACATGGACTTCAGTAGTTGTGGCACCAGGGCTCAATGGGCTTTAGTTACCCAAGGTATGTGGAATCTTCCCAGACCAGGGATTGAACTTTTGTCCCCTGAACTGGCAGGCGGATTCCCATCCACTGTACCACCAGGGAAGTCCCTGTATTATCTTTATTATTGCTGAATGATAATTAACCACAAACTAAGTTTAAAACAATACCCATTTATTATTTCTCATTTCTGTAGGTCAGTTATGCCTTCATAGCATAACTGATTTTTCTTCTCAGGGTCGTACAAGACTGAAATCAAGATGCCAGCCAGGTCTGCGGTCTCACTTGAAGCTCAGAGTCCTCTTCCAGGCTTGTTTAGGTTGTTGGCAGAATTCAGTTCCTTGCAGTTGTAGGACTAAGTCCCCATTTTTTCCTTGCTGTCAGCCGAGGATCACCCTCAGCTCCTAGAGGCCACCGTCAGGGCCTTACCACATGGATCCTCTATAGGTCCCCTCACAGTACCACCATTTATTTCTTCAAAACAACAGGAAAGTATCTCTGACACTTCACCCTCCTTTAAAGGCTTCATCTGATTAGGCTTCAGGCACATCCAGCATAATCTCTTTTGATTAACTCAAAGTAAATGGATTAGTACTAATCTTGGAATGATATCCTATCACTTTCACAAATTCAGCCCTGTTTATACAAGGCATGTACACTAGGGGACATGAGCCCTGGGGGCCATCTTTGAATTCAGCCTATTACTTCACTTCGGTCAGGAAGCCCCTGCTTATTCCCAAATTCTTCTCCAGCTGTGCCCCTGCAGCCCATTCTGTCTACTTCCTCTGGGATGGGTTTAGACCAGACATCTTGGTTCCTGCCCAAGGCTGTCAGGGTCTTTTGACTCTATCATCTTTGGCCCCGAAACCCCTTGCTATCCCAATGGAGAAGCAGCAGCTGGACTTTGATACTTCAGGGATGTCATCATCACCAGTTGATCAGCCTATCAGCTTCCCGCTACAGCAGTCTTCCTTCTGAAAGGGTTGTGATGAGGCATTTCCTCTGATGTGTGCAGAGGGGGGGCATTATTGAGGAGCTTGTATGGACACAGACATTGTTGTATCATGTGACTTTCTAGTAAAGTGAAGTTCACATGCAAGAAAAGTTCTTATCTTCTCTGGTGGGAATTAAGCATGCTTTGAGAAAAAAAAATGAATCCTGTCATTTCAAGGCTGGAAATGGCCTTGTGGCCCTTAGTCTGACTGACCCTATGTTGCTTCCATTTCCAAGTCCCCACTTGGGCACTTCTAGTGATGGGGATCCCAATATGAGCCTGCTTCGGAAAAGGAGATAAATATGAGAGGGTGCCTGAGAGAATGACATTCTTGCTACTGTTAAATTACAGCTCTGCCGCAGGGCCTTAGGCAAAGTATTCCAATTTCCTGAACCACAGTTAATTCATCTATATAATGATAATAATGATGGAACCTACTAATTCATTATTGGGAAAATTAGATAACCTAGTGCATGTAAAATACTAGGTCCTGCCTGGACATATCTCAATAAATAGAACTCAATAAATGGTGAGTGTTGCATTTTTCTGTTGTAAATTGTAGAAAGTTCTTTTCCCAGGGCGTGGCAGGTTGTGAGACTAGGGACAAGGCTTGGAGGTGGAGTGGATAAACATACCACATGGATCACCTGGGAATCAGGGAGAAAAGGTGGCAGGAGGGGGTAGCATTCAAAGGTGATCCTGCTGGGGGCCACCATCCAATACGAGTGCGTGCATGAATGCTCAGTCACTTCAGTAGTGTCCAACTCTTTGCAACCCCATGGACTGCAGGCCGCCAGGCTCCTCTATCCAAGGGATTCTCTGGAAAAGAACACTGGAGTGGATTGCCATGCCCTCCTCCAGAGGAATCCTCCCAATCCAGGGATCGAACCCATGTCTCTTATGTCTCTTGCATTAGCAGGTGGGTTCTTTCCACTAGTGCCACCTAGGAAGCCCATTGACTATAGGTAGGAGAGCTCTAATAGTACTTTTTCATAATAATTAATACTTACTAAGTAATTTCCTAAGTTATTACTTTTATGATCATAACATCATTAAAGAATATAATTTTTGATTGAAATAGAATTCACAAACCAGAAAATTCATCCTTTTAAAGTCTATAATTCAGTGTTCTTTTATTTGCTATGTTGTATAAGCATTATCATTATCTAGTTCCAGAACGTTTTCATCATCCCTAAGGGAAACTCCGTACCTAGTGGCTCAGATGGTAAAGAATCTGCCTGCAATGTGGGAGACCTGGATTCGATCTCTGGATTGAGAAGATGCGCTGAGACGGAACGGCAACCCACTCCAGTATTCTTGCCTGGAGAATCACATGGACAGAGGAGGCTGGAGGGCTACAGTCCATGGCGTCGCAAAGAGTCAGGCACAACTGAGC